AGTCCGAGTATGGGGTTGCAATCTCGATTGTCCAGACCTCTCCTTTCGGGGATTCGGTGGCCAGGGTATCCTCCACCCTAAAGCGTGTCGTCGGGTCCATGTCTATCTTAATGTTCATCAATCTTGGTCTCGTTCTGTCGGCCTCTGGTGGGTGCATTTGTTTGACCCCCCCAATCAGCCCCTCCGCGGCTGACGGCAGATAACATAAGGCGTCCAAGGGAACTCGGAGAGCGATTATCCAGAAATTTACTTCCGCATCTCTTAGCTTCACTTCCTTGACCTCCGCTTTCGTCATCCATGACTTCAACAGGACCGGGTACTCCTTATTGGCCAGCGTAAGCTTTATGGAGCCCTTCAGCACCAGTCAGTTAGCTACTTCCACCGCCTTAGCCATGTACGACAGTACGTTAGGTCCTTCAAATTTAATCCTTCCCCTTCGAATTTCTTGATTAAATAGCCGCTTGGCGAACCATCCGTTTTCATAAGCATGAACCGGGTCCTCCTTCACACTCCTCGATAGATCTCTCGCCTCTTCTTGAAAAATAAAGATAACCGTCCTCTCTTTTAACCACCTTTCCTTGATTTCGTCGTATGACTCGTTCACTTTGAAGCGCTTGCCTTTTTCATCGATCACCACTTCTCCTAGGTTTTCTACAATTTGGCACAGACCCTCATCATAGCACTGTCCAATTGCCTGCCTAGTTTTATCCTCCTCATCCCAAAAGTTTGTCTGGGGACGAGGTTGGGCTCTCTCCCCTCTCAATTCAGCTTCCCCTCCTCCTTCCTCCATTCTTATACTGGCGAGCAACTCCCTTCCTCTTGACTTTTACGCCTAGTTATTCCCCCTTGTCTGTCTCGAACACTCCCTATAAACTGGAGGACGGTTTCTCCTATCCGGATATCGCTTCGAAAACTGCACTTCAGACTTCGTGGACCGAGGACAGATATCCTTGGAGGGTAATGGCCCTGGAACTTCTCTCATAGACTCTCTCCTATCACTGCTCCATCGGGAAGGTCAATCTTTCCCCCGTTGACTAACGCTCTTTTACCTGCTTAGTCCATCAGGTTATCCTGATTGGGTGACGCCAACAAACCATCGGCTCCATTCTAGTCCTCTATTCCCTCGCCTTCTTGGTAGAGTTCTCTTGCTCTCTGATAATTGCCCCTAATTGGTATTACTTGTCTTCGTCAACCTAAACGTGGTTGACCGGCGCCTTGAAAAAAGCAACCTTTGAGTATCACATTAGCAGTCAAGCCGAAAATAATCCACATCATTTGTCCTCTACCTCTATTGAGATAGGGCTACCTCAATAGGATACCTCTCAGGTAATACCGGAAAGCTGCGTCTGGCAGGTATGGTGGATCCTCCGTGCCCCGTCAGCGATGGTGGGGTTGGCGGTGAGGCAGGACAGGGAATCGACGAAGCCACCACCGTCCCCTGTCGGTGCCGGTTTGGAGCGGCAATTGTTAGCGCTAAAATTAGCGCAGCCGCCCAGCCGCAGCGCCCTTTTCCCCTCTTTGTTTTCGCGGGGCCTATTTCTCTTTTTCACCCTGCCGGGGTCGCTGACATCTTGGCAGTACTTTTTCACCACTACACTGGCAGTGTAGTGGTGGGACCAGACCCTGATCTACGGCCGAGAAACTAAGAATGCGGGTAGGACCTGGGGCATCGCCTCACGACTCTCGAAATGTACAAAATGAGATTGAACTTTTGCGCTAGAACATGGCTAGATGCACCCTCCACATTTTTGACTTTTTCACATTTCGAGAGTGGTGTGGCAAGGCCCCTGACCCCGGGATTTAGGGCCTCGCCACACCACTCTCGAAATGTGAAAAAGTCAAAAATGTGGAGGGTGCATCTGGCCATGGTCTGGACGGAAGGTCATTCTCAGGGCCTCGCTGCACTACTCTTGAAAGGTGCAAAACGAGAGTGAATCTTCCGCTAGAACATGGAAAGATACAGCGACATGATTTTTGTCTTTTGCACATTTCGAGAGTGGTGCGGCGATGCCGTTATCCTGTCGCCAGCGGGTACGCTGGCACGATTACCGCACGAGGGCATCCGCGTCACTAGCGCTGAGAATGAACGGCGAAAAATGTGAAGGACAAAAAGTGAAAGCCACGTGTACCGTGCGTGACCTCCTTCATGCCCTCCCTAGGCTCTTGGAAGCCAATGGCGTGTTTTGTCGAGGGTCAGGTTCTAGGGCATACTCACACTCCAACTTTCCTGATGTATAGGACCGCTTTTGCGACCTGCAGTGACGTATCCGACCGCGATTACGTCCCGAGAGAAGTGGAAAACGTCGTACAGCAGTGAGAGAGACCTGTACCTTGTTTGGTTCGAGCGGGCCTCGGGTATTCCCTTGCATCGCTGCGGACGTGATCAAGATCTCTCGTGCATCAAGAAGAGAGAACCATTAAAAAAAAAAAAAAAGAGAGAACCATCGCCCATCCGCCAGCCCGTCCGCCCGGCCGCCCGGCCGCCCGTCCGACCGCCCACCCACGCAGGGAGGTGTGCACGCGCGCATCCGAAAAGCAGAAAATAGTATAACATAGGAAATGTTTAAAATACCCCCATAAATTGAGATATATGCCAAAATGCCCCAAATAGATGTGAGTAGAGCAGAATGCCCCTCGGACAAAAAAACATATTTGAGAAATACCCCTAGAGTCGGTTGGACCTCATCTTTGCAATATACCCCTACCCGGTACCATCAAACTTCGCGAAATGCCCAGTACTTGCCAACTTTTCCAAGGTGCTATTGCAAAAGCTCAAGGCCCAAACGGGGAGGTCCAGATTGCAAATTTTCACAGCAGTCTGACAGGGGCACAACACAAACTCAGGACCCCAAACCTCAATCCGCGCTACCCACAGCCTTCAGGGCATTTTGGCGTATACCTCAACTTATGGGCGTATTTTGCAAATTATCCCTCTAACATATAATGAGAAAATATATATACACATACAGTTCCGCCGTGCAGCTCCATTCTTGTCAGCTCGCCTTCCAACCAGCCAGCTACAGCCTTCCGGCCAGCCGGTCAGCCACTGCGCCGACGGACGGAGAGACGGCCAGGCACCCAGGCATTGAGCATCTTGGATCTTTCAGTCCAGCCGTCCCTGCTGACCCCCGCCCGTAGCCCGGGCTGGTCCGTCTGGCCCTGGCTGGGCTGCTCGAGGGTGGGCGGGGCTTTGCCTGCCTTTGCCGCCCCCATCTTGTGGCCGGCGAGTCGCCAGAGAAGGGCATATAATAATCCACTGGGAAGTTTCGCGCGACCGTCATGTGCGCGCGCGAGTGATCTACCGGTCGGTAGCTGTAGCGAGTGCGCCGACCGCACCCTCGGAACTCGACTGGACCGCATCCACAGGGCCATCTCCCCACGGGAGGGCAAGCACGGAATGGGGGAGCTACCGGTAGGCTATTTTTTTTTTTTTTTCCTTTTTTTTTTTTACAATTTCTCGATTTATGCGTGTCATCCTTGCGCAGGGGCCATGCTGCTCTTCTCTGTATCGTTTCAATTTTAACGGATGTCCCGAAGGACAGGTAGGCTATTTTTGCCTTCCGTCCCGTCTCTTTACCACCACTAACGTTTAGGTCCCACGGTCGCGGGCGTTGCCGCGTCGCCCCCCCCCTCTCCCGCC